TAAGAGTTTCGATGTCATTGTTGGCATAGATTGGCTGAGTTCTCATCATGCGGACATTTTATGTTACGATAAGGCCGTTCGCCTTAATCTGCTAACCGGCAAAACTTTCATTGTCTTGGGCGACAAAACTAGTACCACACTTCGTATCATCTCAAGTATCCAAGCTCAGAAATACCTACGCAAGGAGTGTCACGCATTTTTTGGCACATGTTGTAGATGTGAAATGCAAAGTCCAGGACGTCAAGAATGTGCCCGACGTATGCGATTTTCCCGATGTTTTTCTCGAGGACCTTCCGGGAATACCTCCCGCGAGACTAGTCGAGTTCAAAATCGATCTGGTTCCCGGAGCTACCCCAGTAGCCAAAGCACCCTATCGATTAGCCCCGACAGAGATGCAAGAGCTATCTAGCCAACTGAATGAGCTACTTGGAAAAGGATTCATCAGGCCGAGCTTCTCGCCATGGGGAGCACCCGTGTTGTTCGTGAAAAAGAAGGATGGATCATTCAGAATGTGCAATGACTACCGAGAACTCAACAAACTTACCATCAAGAACCGATACCCCCTACCCCGAATCGATGACTTATTCGACCAACTCCAAGGAGCCAACTACTTCTCCAAGATCGATCTAAGATCGGGATATCACCAGTTGCGAGTACTGGAAAGTGATGTTCCCAAGACGGCCTTCCGAACGAGATACGGACATTACGAGTTCGTAGTGATGCCGTTCAGACTAACCAATGCCCCGACAGTATTCATGGATCTAATGAATCGGGTATGTCGTCCATTCTTGGATAAGTTTGTAATAGTATTCATAGACGACATACTCATTTATTCAAAGAATAAAGAAGAGCATAGTCAACATCTGAGGCAAGTCTTAGAGACGTTACGGACTGAGAGACTGTATGAAAAATTCTCAAAATGTGAGTTTTGGATTAGAAAGGTGGACTTCCTCGGTCACGTGGTCAGCAAGGAAGGAATCCACGTGGATCCATCAAAAATCAAGGCTATCAAAAACTGGTCTGCACCAAATACACCAACAGAAATTCGCCAATTTCTAGGTCTTGCTGGTTATTATCGAAGGTTCATTCAGAATTTCTCCAGCATCGCAAAGCCTCTTACCGCTTTAACCCAGAAAGGTGTGACCTACCACTGGGGAGAAAAGCAAGATGCTGCATTTCAGACTTGAAACAGGCCCTTTGCAGTGCACCCATCCTTTCTCTTCCAGAGGGACCGAAGATTTTGTGGTGTATTGCGACGCTTCGAAGCAAGGGCTGGGCTGTGTGCTAATGCAGAGGGGAAAAGTTATTGCATATGCCTCACGACAACTGAAAACGCATGAGGTCAACTACACCACTCATGACTTAGAACTTGGGGCGGTGGTCTTCGCTCTTAAAATCTGGAGACACTACCTATATGGTACCAAGTGCACTATCTTTACAGACCACAAGAGCCTCCAACACATCTTCGACCAGAAGGAGTTAAACATGAGACAGCGACGTTGGGTCGAATTGCTCAACGACTATGACTGTGAGATTCGCTATCATCCGGGAAAGGCAAACGTCGTGGCGATGCCCTTAGTCGTAAGGAGTACTCTGGCCGAAGAGTGAAGTCATTAGCCATGTCGATCCATTCGCACCTGTCAGCACAAATCAAGGAAGCTCAAATAGAGGCCTTGAAACCCGAAAACGTGACAGGTGAGACCCTTAGGGGAATGGACAAGAACTTAGAAATCAAGAGTGACGGAGCACGCTACCTCATGAACCGAATATGGACACCCAAGTTTGGTGGATTCAGAGAGGTAGTTATGAGCGAGGCACACAAGACTCCATACTCCGTACACCCCGGGTCAGACAAGATGTATCAAGATCTCAAGCAACTTACTGGTGGCCAAACATGAAAGCGAGATCGCTACATATGTGAGCAAGTGTTTGACTTGCGCCAAATAAAAATAGAACACCAGAAACCCTCAGGGCTACTCCAACAACCTGAAATACCTGAGTGGAAATGGGAGCAGATTTCCATGGACTTCATAACGAAACTGCCCAAAACTCAGGGTGGCCAAGATACTATTTGGGTAGTCGTCGATAGATTAACCAAGTCCGCTCATTTCTTACCGATCAAGGAAACTGATAAAATGGAAAAGCTATCGAGAATCTACATCCGAGAGATCGTACGACTCCATGGAGTGCCAATGTCTATCATCTCGGACAGAGACAACAGATTCACTTCCAGATTCTGGCAATCATTGCAAAAATCCATGGGAACAAGATTGGACATGAGTACAGCCTATCACCCCCAAACTGACGGACAGAGTGAGAGGACGATCCAAACCTTGGAAGACATGTTGCGAGCATGTGTAATCGACTTTGGTAAGGCATGGGATGTTCACTTACCTTTGGTCGAGTTCTCTTATAACAATAGTTATCATACTAGTATCAAGACTGCTCCATTTGAAGCCCTTTACGGCCGTAAGTGCAGATCACCTCTGTGCTGGACGGAAGTGGGCGACACACAATTAGCAAAAGGTCTAGTCCCTGATAGCACCCTCACTGGTCCGGAGATCATCAGAGAAACTACTGAAAAGATCGTGCAAATACGAGAACGACTGAAATCCTCAAGGGATAGGCAAAAGAGCTATGCCGACAAAAGACGTAAACCCTTGGAATTTCAGATTGGCGATCGTGTACTACTGAAGGTCTCACCCTGGAAGGGCATGATACGCTTTGGAAAACGTGGGAAGCTAAATCCTAGGTACATTGGACCCTTCGAAATCATTTCAAGAGTTGGTCCAGTGGCCTACAAACTCCGACTTCCAATCGAGCTTAACAAAGTACATCCAGTATTCCACGTATCGAACCTGAAGAAGTGTTTGTCCGACGAAACACTTGTAATTCCACTCGATGAAATCGAACTAAATGAAAATCTTAACTTTGTGGAAGAACCCGTCGAGATCATGGATAGGGAAGTTAAACGAACGTCGAGATCATGGATAGGGAAGTTAAACGAACTAAACAGAGCCGCATTCCAATAGTAAGGGTCCGATGGAATGCTAAGAGGGGACCTGAGTTCACATGGGAACGAGAAGATCAAATGCAACAGAAGTATCCACACCTCTTCCTCAGCCCCTAAAACTTTCCTTTTGTATTCAAATTTTGGGATGAAATTCCCTCTAACGGGGGGATGATGTAACAACCCGTCATTTCAGGTCATCAAAGATCGAACCTTGTAACCTCTTTGAAAAAGGGATTATAATATCATCGAAAAATGAAGTATTCAAAAACTCTGTTTGGAGTACGCTATGTAGTAAATATCGTCTTAGGGTTTCCAAACATATAAATAACACAAAAATCCGAGTTATAACGAAGAAGTTATGACCATTCTAAGTTTTTCCGACAAAAATCGTCGATACGAAGTTACGTAAAAACGCAAAGTTTCAATAAAACACTTTCTGACCTTATGTGTCTAAATGAAAGTCATAGATATCGTTAAACTACAAACGTGCATAAAAAGAACGCTCAAATTGGACATCGTATGAAAAAGTTATGAATTTTTAAAGAAATTCCTTAATCACGTCATTTTAATAAATAAATAATAAAAATAATTTCGGAATTTGCTGACGGAATCTAAACGAAAATTGTAGATCTTAGTCTCACCTACGCGTGGATATAAAGAACGTCGAAAACGGAGTTCGTATGAAGGGGATATGAATTTTTGAAGTTTGATAAATAATTAATATATATTTTTATTCAAAACTTCGGTATTATCCGAAGTCTGAGTCACACAAGTACGCCCCGCGTACACATGATATATAACTAATATTTGAATGACTTTCGGACGAATACCCAATATCCCACCAGACCACATCTCAAGGCGCGAAAAGGAAATAGGGTGGATAGCCTTCCTAAGTCTTTTAAACATTTCTTATATAACTATACATATAGAGGCATGCAATTTATAATATAAAAGCATAAATAAATTTTGTAAGAAATTTGAAACATAAATATTATTTTAAAAAAAGATCGACTTTATGTCGATCTATAACACAATTTGAAGGCATAAGTATGATAAAACAGTTTTGAGTATAAGGAAACATTTGATTGAAACACAGTTGTAAATAAGTTTGAAAGGTAATGTACGGAGTAAGCTGTACAGTGTAAAAAGGAGTTTAAAACATATAAAATGTTTATAAAAAGTCATTTGAAGGAAACGTTTTGGTAAAACGGCTAATGAGTAGCCAAATCTTTTGAATGCTGTATATTAATCACATGTGATTGATGTAATAACTAGCGTAATTCTACTTATTAATCGCATGTGATTGATATAATACTAGCATGATTCTACTTGTATCCCCCCATTAAACATTTAAAAGTAGTTTAAAACATTAGTTAAGGGGTATGAACTCACTTGATTGAAGTGGTCGATTTGAAATAGTCTAGAGAAGAATCGAGCAGAACTTTGACAGGAAGAGTTGAAAACGCTGGAAAATCTCGGGATTCTCGGAAATCTCGGGAATATCGGGAACACAAAACCTCCCTTCGGGACTTGAAGGTGAAAAACCGGGGCTTTGGGAGGGTCTCGGGGGCTTAAACGCAGAGTTTCGGCGCGAGAAAGAGAAGAATAGAGCACCTAAACCCGGCACCCCAAGAGTTGTATTTATAGGGGCATTTCTGGTGTGCCACGTCGTGGCAAGTGATGGCCACATCGTGGGGAGTCAAACTTATCCTCTTCCATTGATTGGACGCCCTCAGTCAGTTGCCGGGTCGCGGCAAGCTTGTGCCACGTCGTGGCAAGCCTGACAGCCTCGGATTTCGGACCCCGAACTTGTAAAATCCGTAACTTTCGCATACGAGCTCCGTTTTTGACGTTCTTTATATGCACGGTAGCTAAAAACATGATCTACAACTCTCATTTAGACTTCATTGGCTAATTTTGACT